TACCGAGAACAAGTGGGCTTGGACTAGCTGGTGCGAGTTTTTGTATGTTTTGTTGCAATGCATTTTCTCGAGGATGAGTCTCGAGAAATGCGTTGAAGATTGCCGTAACTGTTTCAAGTTGTGTACAGTTTCCCATTCAGGCAAATGACCTCCGAAGCATCCACAATTTTGAGTACAATATCAGTGTGACTAGTTGAACATTTGCTTGAAGCAGGGCTGCCATTTGCACCCGTTGCATGGAGAGAAGGTGAAACAACTTCAGCATTTGAACGGTCCTTCTGAAGATCGGGTCTCGGCCGCGGAGACGCTTCGGAAACCCACCTGTGGCCGAAGCGGTTGCTGTCATAGGCCTGGTAGAAAAAGAAGATCTGCTTCGAAGAACTGGCACCTGGCACTGGGTACTGTAGGAGATGGTAGCATTCAAAAGGTCATCGGCAAAGTATAGACATTCTAAGGTCGCGAGTCCCGAGACTTTGCTTCTTTGATCTTCTGAATGGCTCTCTTCAGAGGCCATGAAAGCAGGAGGCCTCCGGACTACTCCTCGCCTCCGTCGCCAACGACGGGCCGTGACAACGACCGGGGCGACTGGGATTCGATGTCTCGGTCGGAGTCGGTGTCTCGGGCCACCGCGAATGGAGGCGACCGGGTCCCTTCACTGTTTGAGAGAGCGAGGAGCGGCAGCTCTTGGCCAAGGTCCACTGCCAACAGCTTTCGAGACTTTTGGCTCTCCTTGGGAGGTGGCCCGCTCAGCATGGATCTAGGCAGGGTTGCGCAGGGTTGCAAGGGTCAGCGAGGTGATGGTACTTCAAAGGAAGGCTGGACTGAAAAACTGGAAAGACTTCAAGAGAGTGCTGCAGGAGGCCTACATCAGAAGAAAGTCTAATTTAATGAATCTTAATGATACTCAATCTACTGAAGTGAGCAACATGCAATTTGTGCAGACGGTCATCCAAGAAAATTGAGCCACGTGCTTCTTGGCATGTTCCCAAGCAATGAGCCATTCACATTTAAGAACAACAAACTACCCATGGTCTCAATTAACGTAGCTTGCAGTACTCAGTACGCCTTGCAATTCCCCCTTTTGTTTCAACCAGTGCTCGGCCCTGCAGGCGCCACGCGGTGACTTGGAAGCATCGACGTCGCTGGTGTTGTTTTGCCAAAGCATCGATGGTTTTGCCACATGGATTGGCACATTTCCCCATCCATGGCGATGTCAACGACTTTCTGAAAGTGATCAATTCGAGTGACCAACAAACCTGAGACAGCTGAAAGCTCCGCTCAGATCTAGTAGTCTTGGTACTGAACATATTTGGATTCGATTCATCCAACTATATAAGATGTCCATGTCTTTCCTGGATGCATCCACCCCACATCGGATTGGCTCACAGATTGGCCATCCAGCTTAGCCACGACATGATGTGGCACCAGCTCACCTCGCGCTCGAAGGTCTGACAGCAACCGACGAGGCTGGGCGCCCCCGCGCACTTGGCGTGGTCAACAATCAGGTGAAGAAGATATGAATGGCACACCAGGGGGGGGTCGTTCATGGACACCCCAACAAACGGGGTCGTTCAAGCCTCCAGTACAGTGGGCCTTTCGTTGGAAAGCGCCGCGTTTCTTGGGGAGAGCCACGTCCACGCTCTTTCACTTGGCATGAACAATTGGAGGAACACAAACAACGATTTGCACTCCCTCTCCAACAAGTGGATGGCATGGTCCCTGGAAAGATGATGTCTACAAGCAGTATGGGTGAACTCATCGGTGAACTCCACTTCCATGGGCCAGTTGGAGGGTAAGGCCACTCATGGGGAAACTGCAATTTCACGAGCTGATTCTCAGTGAGTTGCCAGATGAGGCGACCCCTCAACTCTACATCCTTTACACTAAAGTTAAGACTGGCCTAGGTGTGACAGAAGCATGTATGTATATGTATGTCAAATATGTGTTTTTTTGGTTTGGTTATGGTTTATACGATTTGCTGTTACATGTTTGGTCAGTCATAACACTAAAGACCAGAGGATGTCCTGGCTCATCTTCACTTCGGCTTGGTGAAGGTCCCTCCTGCTCGGTAGCCGTGAGCAAGGGTGATGATTTGCATCGATTGTGCGTTTTAATCTGATGAATGGAGGTAATGTAGACTGGTGCGCTGGTGGTTCAATACATTCAACCACATGGAGATATAAAACATGGTAAAACCATTCTTGGAGACGGGTGTTCTATTTGTGAGCAGTCTACATTGAGCCCCTGCGGTCACGCCAGGAGTTTCGTGCCTGGTACCACCATCAACATTTGTGTACCTTGATGAGAAGTACACTGTCAGGGATGGCCCCGATTTCGCACGAAAAACATGACATCTGGTCAGACCCTGCGCAGGTGGTTTCACTCCACTTCACTTCCAAACCGGAGAGATAGATGTAGTTCCCATGTCCTCATCATCGGCGCCGGGATCGGAGCTGTGCCAGGTACCGATCCCGCACCTCGTGGCCGTGACGACCGACGCGACGTACCGGTCACGTGTCTCGCTCGGGAAAGTCCGGGCAACCGGGGGAGGTGGTCGGGAGACTCCGGGAAACCGGGAAACCGGGGTCGAAAAGCCCGGAAGTCGAGGCGGAAAACGCCACCTGATGAGGGGACTCAGTTTCCTTTTGTAAATGTTGTAGGCATCAGGTGGAGTATCAGGTGGCTAGGCTATATTCGTAAGCTACAGACAATCAGGTCCCAGAGGTCCAGTTTGTAGAGGTTTCCATTGGGGTTCAGTTCGACCCCGATTTCCCGATCGAGTAGGGTAGACTTATATATTGCGCCCACGCCCCAAGCGTCAGATGGCTCCAACATCAACATCAAAAGCATCATGACAGGAGTCAAGGGATTTGAGCAAGCCTTCAGCTAGATAAATCAATGTTTTTCTCAAAGCTTTGCCAGCAACTTCTTTGGGTTTGATTGAGGGTGCTCAAGGTTTTATTTAAGAGAGGTGTTTTTTAAAGTCAGGCCTTTCAGTATGTGAAGTGATTTTGATATCTTCTCCACTTCGTAGAGAACTGCCTTCTTCGCGCGGTGGTGATGGACCATCGACCCACTCGACTGGGTGATGCACGCTGAGTTCGACCCACTCGAAGCAGTCGAACCAACCGAGGGGGATTGCTGGACCACGTGCACGCTCCGTCTTTGAGCCGCGAGCCAGCGGGGATCTTGGCGAAACAGATGTGCTTCATTGTGCTTCATTGTGCTTTCACATGTGTTCATTTGGTGGCATCCTGCATCATCCTGCATCCCGCATTCCCGTGTTGCTTGTTATGTTTTATGTTCATCACCAAATCGAGACATTCTACTCCACGTGCTTCCCATGCCCACCAGGGAGTCTTCAACGTAGGTCACCATGGATTGAGGAAGGGTTTCTTCCCGCATGAGCCAGTTTAAACCGGTTTTACCCTGACGCGGCTTGTTGCTGACGCGCCAAGTGTTGGTGTTTGCATGTGGAAGGCTGGGCGCAACTGGAAGGTGCCGTAAGAAAGCCTTGAAGGCCCTGTAGAAGAAGCAGAAGACCCAAGAGACCAGACCCCAATAAACCATAGATATAATATCATGTGAGGTTTTCCTATATGTGTTCATAAAAACCACTAGGAACTTCCGGGCATCGCTACGAAGAAGGAGCTTCCAGGCATCGCTACTATAGTTCAGGAGCTTCCGGGCATCGCTACTATAGTTCAGAACTGCTCCTGATGTTGATCCCGATTCCGCACCCAGACACTCCATGTATGCCATATATGCCTACATTGACCTCTCAAACCACCCCAATGTAGACATATATGGCATACATGGAGTGTCTAGGGCATGGATTTTCTTCGTATCTCGGATTCCGCCGCATCATCACGGAGCGAACGTCCGCACGAACGCAGGCGATCGTTACCATGCTTTGGAGGGCGAACCTCGGGTCGGGGGCGCCGCAAACGAACGGGAGGATGGTGGACGATGCCTAAGGTCCCCGAGAGGCAGAACAGTGTGTTAGAAGCAATGTATTGGGGATTGTTTGATTTTTTCTTTTTCATGTCTGTTCTAGACTGGTACTTTTTTCCGGTCTTGGTTTTTTCCTCTGACTCACGGATTCCCCGGTTGGACGATTGAAGGGTGTTCACCCCAGGACCGAACCGCTGTTCATGGCCGGACAAGCGGTTGAGATTCGTTTTTCATTGGTGATCCTCAGGGTTCCAACTTCAAGACGGCTTGTGTGCAAGCAGAAGTGCGTTTCATCATCTGTTTGTTTTTCTCGTGGTGCTTACTGCTGTATATGTACATAAATGGACCATTTCAAGCTGGTGCGTCCGGCCTCATCTCATTGCGTTCCCAAAGTCAAGACTTACTTGCCTCGTCCATGGTGGGATTGCTGCATGAAACTCGGGCGATCAACTGACTCATCATCAGTTCGTCAAGCACATCCTGAGTGAAAGAATGTTTTTGTGTCCACCTGTTGAAAAGATAAGGCACCCAATAATAGCACTTCCAATGGGTGCCCTGTCTGGAGACCCAGACAGGATGATCCTGGTAATAATTCTTGTGTAGCATCATTTTTGGAAAGTAATTGTTCCACCTGCATTCCCCCGATTTCTTCCTGGTCGCTGCTTTTGGTCGGCTCAGTGCAGCTCGGGCGCGTGTAGCTCAGTGCCGCCATGGGAGAAGCAGATCCACGGAAAGCTTTGAAGAATGCCGAGGCTTCGGCTGAAGTCCTCAGGGCGGCAGGGCCATGCTGATGTGGCTGTGGGTGCTATTTCAAAGGGGGCCCCGGGTTGACCACGGACAATGAACTGAATAGACCACCTGGGAGGTCAACCTATACCAAGGGTTCGGGCTCCTAATATTGACTCACAGCCATATGGAAACTAATTAGGGCGTAATTAGCCCATCATCATTCACTAGACTTTCACTATAGACTAAACGTCATCATCCGCTGTTGTTCGTAGCCAATTGGCCTGCTAGTACGCTAGTACGCACAGGCCTTATTCAATACCAGTCCCACGAGTCGAAGGAAAGCGGAAAGAATCCACTGGTACTGGTGCTGGGATCTATCATGATTACCATGATCTACCCAATTTTGACACAGGGGTGCGTCTAAACCAGCTCCGGGCCCCTCCGTCCGGCGCGGGGGTCCTCTGACTCTCCCCCACGGCATGGGAACATCGCACGGGTTCGAGGCCACATGACATCGGGAGCTTTGAGAACTCAACTCTTAAGGGATGATTTCTTCCAAACGCTTTCTTGGTTGCTGGCTTCCTTGGCTTTCTTTCTAGCGTCTTTCTTAGAGTCTTATGTGCTCCTGCAGTGCTGTTAATTTGTGGGCCGCCACCAGCACCACCAACAACAACGACAACAGCAACAACAACAACAACATAATTAATGAAATACACACAAACACAAACACCTTGACAATCCTTGACATCATTAATCACCACGTCGTTGTCACGCCAAATAGATAGAAAAGCAGATGCCCACTAAAATGTATTGGAAACCGTGCCACTATCTGTTTGGGGATCACTATACTAGTTACATCCGATGTGTTTGCGATGGAATTTGCCCAAGTTGCGACCTGTGACAATCCACCACACAGGCTGTTAGCCCCACCCCACCCTTACCCAAAGCTGTCCAGTGGAGAGATCCCCCCAAGTGTTCGTTCTGAGGTCCTCGTTGCGGTGCTTTCCCCTTTTCCAGCTTAGTCGACAAGACTTGATCGATCCCAGCAGACAACTCATATAGAATGCCCCATGCGGCATGGTTTCAACGAATGGTTGAGCATTCAAAGTTGCAGCTGCAACTTCAAGGTGCTGCAACTTGAAGGTGCAGCTGCGACTTGGTCTTCAACATCTAACTCTGTCAGGTCAGTCTTCACGTAGGGGTTAGTCCTGATGTGCTGAAACAGCACCCACCGGCTCAGGACAACAAGTACATCGCGGCCTTATCGGACGTCCGCCTGGAAGGTTCATCCGAAGCGGTCTACTTCGTGCTGCGCGGTCTGGGCATGAAGGCGTCACAGGGGCCAAATTGCCTGCCTCGGATCGAAGTCATGGCGTGTCAGCATCCCAAGCACTTTGGGCTGCAGATCGTTGGATGAACACAAGCATTATTGGCGAGTGAGGTCTTTTTTGTGGACACAGCGTGGCCACGTGGTTTGTACGGGATCAGGACCCTCATCCTTCCTCCATGTGAGTGTGGGGTTCCTGTAGGTTGGCAACATGGATGTCAACCATTTACACTCCCTGGAGTATTTATGGAAGAGTTCGCCACACCTTTAAACGTAGAGAAAGAAGGTCATCCAAATCGCCATGCCTTCCGCTTCCATGATTGTTCCGGGGAGTGTGGGTGGAATCTCCATATGAAAGGCCGGTACTTCTAGGACCCTTTGTTTTTCATTTGTTGCTTGGGATCCCGAGCCAAGTAGCGCTAAAGGTTGCACTTTTGGAGCTTTTGTGAGTGATCTTTTTTTTCCATGGGAACCCATCCACGGAACCAGGACTAACATGGAAGTCGATGGCATTGCCCCTTGGAAGACTATTTTCCTCTACCAACAGGGTTTTTCCCCTTCCATGATAATCTGATAGTTCCAGGGAGTAACCTCGAACTCCCATTATTTACCCATGCTTTGAACCTCACCCATGTATGGTTGAATTCGATAGAGTCCCAAGATCCGCATCACAATCTAAATAAAAAGATGTATAATGTCGTATACAATATAAAACGAGCTCGGAGCTTCAAAACAGGCTACTTTTGCCGACGCTTTGCTTGAAGCACATGCCGACGGCCCTTCAGAATGCCATTCCCCGAGACGGCTCAGGCTCTTTGCTGCTTTGCGACGCCTAAACCTGCGGCATGTGAGAGCGTCTCGACGCTGATCGACGCTCGCGAGACGGTCGAGTCCCCCCTATTGACGGCAAAAACCGATGGTCTGACACACAAGTGGGGGTCGGGATTGCGTCTGAAACCACATTAACCGTGAACATTGTGAACCCAGGACTAAGAACATCTGCTAATTTAATGTGGCCGCACGTCTTCGGGCAATTTCCTATCTGGTATCCTACCTTATGTCTCAGTCCCTTTTCTTCCTCTTTCATTCAACATTCATTTAACGAATCCCTGATCCTATTGAAATTAAATGTTCCCTCCTTTTCTCAAACCCTAACTCCTGGTGAATCTAGTCTTTTGGATTCCTCCTGAACATATGTTTTTTTGATCTCTCATGAAGAGATGAAGTCTCCACATCAATTGATCGAAAGAGGGTTCAACACTGGGAACCTCCCAACAGATCGAACTGAGGTCTCCCGGTCTCTCTATGCACACCCCTATAATCCAGTGACACCATATCCCAGACACTTCATGGGACTGCCATATATGCCTATACATTGACCCCCCAAACAACACCCCTGGCCGTTTCTCGGCAGTCCGGACTGGCAGTCCCATTGGTCGTGTTTGGGTATTAGAATTTGTGCAGTATATAACATTCACAACCAGTTGGGTCTGTCAGGGCAGTCACTTTTTGTTGGTTGTGCCATTTTGTGCCGCAAAGGCCTTTGAATGCAAAACACCCTAGCAAAGGAAGGGTGCCGGGCGCCTTAATGATGCAGAAGCAACATGACACATCAGAACAACTACAGTGGAGTGCTGTCATGTGTTTGCCCGAATCCGTATCATTTGGAACATGTGAATTAATTACATGCATGCATTTCTACTCGTGCATGTTCCTTTCCGCGTGTTGCTTCGCGGAAAAAAAGGGCCCCCGAGCGCCATTTCGGTCAGACGACCATCGTCGTGACCTCGGTTCTCGGGCGCTGAATCGGTCGGTGTATGGTCGGCGTATTCAGTGGTCGGTGGGTGATGGTCTCGGTGCTCCAAGGATTTGAGGATCACCGAAATGGATGGCTTAAGGCTTAAGCGCATATGCCAAACAACCCTTAGCTAAACACGAACCAAAGACGTATACGGAGAGAATCAGTATGAAACCCAGATGCTCCTGAATTAGAAGATGCTCTTCGTTTCTTTTGCATCCTCACAATGCTCTTGCGGCCTCCCTATCTAGCCTTATGAAACTCGGTAAAGCCCTTGCTGGACCCTTTGCTGCATCAAGAACCCATGAACACCCGTCTCCATGAGCACGACTGACTGTGGAATCCGATTGAAGGAACTCACCTAAATAGTCTTTTTCGACGAAGATTTCAGTGGTTGGACGACCTGAGGACACCATCATCTTGGAACCGAGCGGCTCGGGTCCTGGCAATCCTGCAAGTGCAGATCGCTCGGTGGAGAGACAAGTCAGGTGAGGGAGACGTCAGATCGCGGACCCAAATGGAGCGATAACATGTTTTGTAACAACTCATCAACATCAATCAACGAACAATTTGCAATTGGAACCATATTGGAACCATATGGACCATTCAATTCTCCTTTTGCAGAAAAGACTACTGTAAAACAACATGCTGGCCACTTTGAGTGCTCCTTTCGCATCACGTTCTTCTCGGTTGGCCACGTTCGAATCCGGTTTCGATGTGGTTTTGTGGATCAGGTGAGTCCCCAAAGATTCATAGAACCGGCGTTCCATTCATCTTTACTGGGGATGTTTTCGCTTACTCGGGATCTATATAATGACAGTATATATATATATATAATAGGCGAGTTTAATAAGGCGGTATGTTTTTAATGTTCCCTTTGGGTAAATCCTCTTATTAGAGGAGTATTTTGGTAAACAGTTAATGAGTTATGAATAGTATAACTCGCCTTATTAAAGGGAACATCCAAAGATCAACGGCCCAGTTATTGTTTTTCCCAGGTCTGGTTTCGATCCTGGGCACTGGTTTCCGGTTTGGGGATGGGCACTCACTGGTTTTCCGCGCACGTGAAGGGGTCGAGTTGAAGGGGAAGCCTTCACCAGGAACAGGGCACGGGCTGAAAATC